ATCAGAAATTCTCAGATGGGTTTTCAACCCCAAAATACATTTAAGAACTTTGCCTTAGAGCAGTGGTTCTCAAAATGTGATCCCTGGACCAACAGCATCAGCATCTCCAGGGAACTTGTTAGGACATGTGTATTCCCAGGCCCATCCAAGACCTAGTAAGCCAGAAACTTTGAGGATGGGGCCCAGAAATCTGTTGATGAGTCTTTCAGGTGCTTCTGATATATGCTTAAGTTTGGGGAACACTGCCTTAACACAGGCATAAACTTGAGTGATATGGCATTAGACACAGTTCACTGGCCTAAGCGGGATTTTGACAGTGCATACGATCCGAGAAGATAGAGGAAAATCTTAGAAGCCTGAGATCCTTTTTGGATTCTCTCAGGAAGGAAACACTGAGGCATAGCTTTGAACCCTGCCAATGTTTTGACAAGGCATTCCCTGTGGGCTTGTGTGGCTGTCAGAGCAGGCATTTCTGGGAGCTACTGGACTCAGGACTTGGAGCTGAGAAGATGCACACCATGGACCAGTGCACCAGTCCCACAGTGCCGGGGCTGCCATCCTCTACCCTCCCCAATACAGTTACTTCTAGGACCGCAGATTAGGTATCTTGTTTCATCCAAGGTAACACAGACCTCTAAGGACATTTCAGCAGGGGATAACCTGTCCAGCCTCCTGGAGCATCTAGTATCCTCTGACACCCTGCTCACCGGGAGGTGCCAGGACCTCTGGCCCACACCTTGCCCAGTTGACACAACAGCTGTGAGGCCTATGCAGGATTGCTGCCTGCAATGCCAGTCTCTTTTTACATCTTCTGGGAAACATGAAAATGTCCAGAAACAACCTGCAGTGCCGGCTGATGGGAATGGCAAGAAGGCTTGCACCCTGCTCCCCTGAGGCCTCTCTCCTCCAGAATCCCAGGCCTGGCTCCTCCTTTCTGCTAAGTCACAAAGCTAGAAAGCTCTTAGGGTAGGGAGAGAGCAAGTGCCTGCTGGTTGCTTGGAAAGGTTCTGGGAATTCATTATGATCTAAACAACTCTTCCAGTTATTCATGTGACTCAGACCCTGAAAGCTGGATCTTCCTGTGTCCACGGGGCTGGGTGTTGCTGACTCAGTGCTGAAGAGGGCACCTTGTCAGCCCTCCTGGGCTCCCCACCTCCAACCTGCTCCCTGTCACTCCCAGAGGACACCAAAGCGAAGCAGACAGTGGAGCTGAGCTTCAAGGCGTGTTCAGTTGCATTTCTAAGAAGGCAGCCAACCTCCTCCCATTACAGCTCTCACCACACACATCTGTCAGTCTTTCAGGCATTTTGGAGGGGAAGTAATAATAAACAGTCACTCAGACATCATACATGCACATATGCATTTAGCATATGTTCATCCAGCACCTACTATGTGTCTGGTTGATTCCTAAGGGCTGAGATTCAGAGAGACATGGCTGTATCTGCATGTACCGTCCAGGGGTCTGGTGGGGGGAAAATGCATTCACAGACATTTAGGAAGTAAGGGGAAAGTACGGTAGTGGAGCCAGAGAGAGAGCTTTGAGAACCCTGAGCAATGAATGGCAACCATTTCTAGGTGTCTGGAATTCCTCTTTAACATGCAACAAAATTCAGTGTGGGTGGGAATTACTTTTGTCTCTGGGAGCCAGAGAGAAAAGAAAATGCCAGGAACCAAAAGGGTACAAAAGAAGGACTTTCTGGAAGTAGGGAGGCTGAAGAAGGAGACAAAAGGGTGGGGAGACCAAAGTGTTAAGTTTTACAGTTTTGCCAAAGGGTCTTTTCTTAACTTGAAACTGTTTCACTCTATCTGCTAGGCAGGATGGTGAAATTTCCCTGAAATAGTAAGTAAACTGCTTGAACTTTTCTCCTTTGAGGAAGAAAAAGAAGGAGAATAGAAAGATCCCACGCTGCTGTATAGAAATGAAAGAAAAACTACAGATACTAATGTGGGCATCTACTGTGTATCAAAACTTTGTATGTATAGTATACCTCATTAAATACTAACAGAACATGCATACACACACACACACAGATTTTGTTACACAAAGGGTAAAGCAGCATACCCAAGGGTAGCTGGGCTGAGATTAGGACCTGTGTTCCTGCCACTTACAAACCAACCTTGCGTGTAGGTATATAATGAAAAGTGAAAGTGTTAGTCACTCAGCCATGGCTGACTCTTTGTGACTTCATGGACTATAGCCTGCCAGGTTCCTCTATCCATGGAATTCTGCAGGCAGGAATACTGGAGTGGGTATCCATTCCCCTCTTCAGGAGATCTTCCCGACCCAGGAATCAAACCCAGGTCTCTTGCATTGCAGGAAGATTCTTTACCATCTGAACTGCCAGGGAAGCCCATTATATAATATAATGTAAAGAAATACTCATATCCCCATTTTACAGATGGGGAAACTGAGATACCAGGAAATTAACTAAGCTCTCCAAGGTCATACTAGTAGTGAGTAAGGAAATAGGACTTCAGACCCAAATCTGTCTGAATTCAGAGTCTGGATCCTTTCATCACACCACCCTGGTTTTTTTTTCCTTCATTTTTGAGGCCAGATTTCATCTCTCTATAGTATCTGAACTTCTATAGTATCTACAGTATAGTATCTGTCTGAATTTCTGTAAAAATGGAACCTGATATTATATCCTCCAGGATTATGATTACCTACTATAATGTTAGAATTAAACTACAAGCATGCTTTCTTATTCATTCATTTAATACATTTATATTGAATATTCATTTACTTTTCCCAGACACAAGGTCCTGAGAGTGGAGCAATGAAAAAGGCAGCCATTTTCTTCTCATGGAGTTTTCAGTGTAGTCTGGAGAGGAAAGCAGGAAACTTAATATATAATTGTTGTATAAGAGTTATACAACAGTCGGTTTATTACAATGGCAGTAAATACTATAGTAATGATAGCTAACACCTCAATTAAACTTACTTTGTGCCAGGGATTATTCTGAGTACCATATATTTATACAGTTTTACTCATTTATTTCTTACATGCCAGTAAGGGAAGTGAAGAAATCGGTGAAGGCTTCCTGAAGGAAGTGTCAGCTTATTCTGGAAACAGGAAGAGTTAATATTGTTGAGGAGGGGAAGGAAGATCAGGAGTTTGAGTCTAGGGTGATGAGGTCCATGTATTCACTAGCCACATGAAGCTTTAGAGTACTTGAAATGAGGCTAGGCTGAATTGAGGTGTGATATGAGTATAAAATACATTCTGGGTTTCAAAGACAGTATAGGAAAAAATACAGTAAAATATTTCATTAATTTTTGTATTGATTACATGTTGACAAGATGCTATTTTGGCTACAATGGGTTAAATCAAATCTATTAGTAGAACTAATTTTGCCTATTTCTTTCTACTTTTGTTTTAATGTGGCCACCAGAAAATTTTAAATTATATGTGCAGCTGATATTATATTTTGATCGGACAGTGCTGCTGTAGAAGCCTGGGGTGTGTGAGGGAGCAGGGACATCAGGGAAACTAGAGCCTGGAGGAGACCTGGAGAATGATGGGGAAAGAGAAAGAAGGATGTTGAGGCAAATGTAAACAGCTCACCAGCTGTCCTGCAGGTTAGAAAAAGTAATTACAACCTGTATAAACTATCTGAGATGGTTGGCCTGACTAACCTACTGGAAACTGTCTCTCAGAACCAGCTCCAGCTGTGAGCTAGATTAACACTATTCTTAGACTTGGTATTGTAGATGGAAGAGGCCAGAACAGGACAAAAAAGTAAAGAAAAATGGAGGCACATCTTAGGGTAAAAGTCAAGCCCTATGAATGGTCTGTCAACCCCAGCCCTATAACATCTTCCTGCCTGCCCCTTACCTTTCTGTCCTCAATCTCCTACTCAACTCTTTCCACACCCCACCCCACCCAGTTACACTCATCTCTCCGTGGGGCCTCGGATATGCTAGGCATGCTCCTACCTCAGGACTTTTGCTCCAGCTGTTCCCCTTACCTGAAAATTCTCCTCTCTGCAGTCACATGGTTGCCTCCCCTAACTCTTGGTTCAAATGTCACCTTCCCAACAAGGCCAACATTGACGATCTTGTTTACAATTGTACTCAATGGCACTCCTTTACCTTATTTCTTTTTCCCCCATAGGACTTATAATTTATTTCTAGCATACTACTTTCCTAAGTTCATTGTTAATCTGACTACTAGACAGCAGTCTCCCTCAGACATTGACGCCAGTTTTATTTCCCTCATTTTCCCCAGTACCCAGCTGGTGTCGGCATAGAGTAGCTGCTTGATGAACCGGTTTGCTCTAAGTGTCAGTGGCGCTGATTAATGCACTGCTGGTTGTTGAATAGGAATCCTCCATGCACTCTCCTCTCCTGAAGAAAACGACTTCTTTCTCCCTTTCTTGGAGGTGGACTTGATTAACATTGCTTTCCACTCAGATTTTACTCCTCAGGGTTCTGCCCTGTTCTGGATCCCAGTTCTACCCCGGAAAGGGTAGAGAAACGGCTGCTGCTACCAGACAGCTTTGGGGGCTGGGAGCTGGGATTCCTGGTACCCTCCTGGCTTTGCCCAAGTGCACATCCCCTCCTCCCCTGCCTGTTTCCTTAGCTGTCAGGGGTTCTCAGCTCTGTGGGAGGCTGAACACGGTACTGGGTGGATCAAGGAGGAAAAGGAGGGATTCAGTTGTCCCATCCTGGGCAGTGGTTTTCAAGCCTGGGTCAGGGGACCAGATATATCAACATCATCTGGGAACTTAATAGAAACATAGCCTATGGCTCCAACCTAAACCCACCAGTCAGAAACAGGAGGGTGGGTTGGAGTGGGCAATGAGGGGTTTAACGATAATTAAATCATCGACTTAATTAAATCGTTCAATTAAATGAATGAACAAAGCCTCGCGGTGATTCTGATTCACTCAAGTGTGAGAAACCTCGGGCTGGGGGAAAGGAGGGACTCTGTTAGAAATTTGAAGGCAGGGAGGGACTTAAAAAGTAAGGCCAGAGGACAGGTCCCGCGGGCAGGCTAGCTCAGGGTGGGTTCCCTGCGCCGGAGGCAGCGCGGGGTGGTCTGACCTGGGAAGTTAAAGGTCAGCGTTGTTCCCAGGTCCTCCACCCCCACCCCAGGAAAGTCCCGCGGCGCGGCCCTGACCTTCTGACCACGGCCGTCTCCACGCTGGGCTGTCTGGAGCCCTGAGCGCAGGCGCTGCGCTCCGGTGAGCTCTCTCCACCGCCGCCAGGCCACCGCCCCTCCCGCTGGGGTCCCCCGGCCTAGTCCCCGCTGGTGGGCTCCTGGCGTTGGGCTTCAGCCAGTAGGGCCCCTCCCCCTGCCCCGGCCGCCAGCCACCTCAGGCCCCTCTGGCTGTCTTCTCTATCTTTGTTGGAGCTCTGTCTCTATTTTTCTCTCTTCCTGCTCGGTTTGTTCTCCTTGCCTCCCTTTATTTTTTATTCTCATACTTTTTTTTTTTTTTTAAACAGAGTTACTAAGCACCCACGATGTCCCCTGGGTGGTCCTAGGCTCTGGGCAGTGAGCAGTGAAAACAAGCAAACCTGTGGGCAGGGAGCTTACTGGGTCCTGAATCCATCTGTCCCCACCTTCCTCTGCTCCCTCAGCACCGTCGGCACTGGCTGTTCTTCCCTCTACCTCTCCTGGTTGTATCTAAAGGAGTTTTCTTTGGGTCCCATGGTAGGAAAAAAAGCCTACTTCTGTCTATTATAAAGTTGCAGTTAAAATGGCAATCTTATCTTGAAGGACACTAGTTTCAAATGTTAGCTGCTGTGGACACCTCAACCAAATTTAGTTTATTAGCTTAATGCAGACAGTCGGATCCTATGAAGTCACCTAGTATCTGCCTATTAATACATTGACCTTTGTGCTAGACAATCATTTATTTGAGAAAATGCATGTGTGCATCCAATGATGTATTAAAGAACTTAGTCTTTGCTGGAGATTGTTCAGAATGAGCTCTGTCCAATAGATGGTGTTCTTCACAGAGCTCTGAAGAAATTAAAACAATGATGCAGAGTGACCAAACAATGCCACATTTAACCCTTTCAACCTCCCTTCTAGGTGAATAAGACTATATAATAATTTGATAGATGTGAAAACTGAGGCTGAGACTATGCACCTTGACCAAGTACCTAAACTGAAAAGCTGCATGCCCAAGATTTAACCCCCTGTATGACTGCCTCCCGAGTTGTTTCCCATTAACCTCAAGGCCAGCTTGGAGGCAAGGCTACCACAAAGAAGAGGGAGGTGAGGAAGGAGGAGTGGAATGGCTCTGGAGAGGAAACTTTTGAGTACTGAACTGAAATTTGGGTGATGCTGTGTGTTATTAATGAAGTTTCATGAGCTGTCTGGGTCCTCCTTATAGGTAAAATGTAGAGCTTGGCTTTTTAGCTACAAAAGCCTCCTTCAGGTATAATATGTAGGTTAGCACATAGGGTCTGGAGCCAGACTAGCTGGGCTGGCAATTTGCTTCCACTACCGAATTGCTGTGTGATCTTGGACAAGTCACTTAAGCTTTCTGGGCCTCAATTTTATCATCTGAAAGATTGCTGTAATGGTTACTGCTTCATTGGCAGATGACAGGGTAAATGGTTTCTAAGGTTAGGAAGGGTATTTAGCACGAAGTAAGTACCCAGTGAATGTTACCTGGTTCTTTTGTTATCCCAGCTCTAAATGGAGGCTTCTTCACCCAGGCCAGGAACCTGTCACCCTGCAGCCCAGGCCTAACTCATGCCTGGCTCCTGCCCAGTCTAAGCCCTTTCTTTCTCAAAGAAATGAAAGTCATGATTTCTAGTCCTGATTGTGAAGGAACCAGGATATCCTAGGAGTCTTGGAACCCAGTGGATTATCAGTCTGGCTCACCCACAAAGGAGATAGTTTAGTATAGAAGAGTTAGAAACTTTTCATCATTAAATGTATCTGCTTCCACAGAGGTTTTGTGCAAAGCTCAAAGCATGTTATCTTTCTTTCAGGTGGGCTAGACTAGAGTCCAAAGTCAGCGAAGACAGTTTTGCATACATGCCTACTCAGTTGTGTCTGACTCTTTGTGACCCCATTGCACCAGGCTCCTCTGCCCATGGGAATTCCCAGGCAAGAATACTGGAGCAGGTTGTCATTTCCTTCTCCATGGGATCTTTCTGACCCAGGGATTGAACTTGCGTCTCTTGCAATGGCAGGCAGATTCTTTACCAGCTGACCCACTGGGGAAGCCCAGTATTACATGGTGCCAAAGAGTAGGGCCTTTGCATGGTGGTTGATTGATCATCCTAGTGGGAGGACCTTAACTGGTTTTCAGTTTTGATTTTCTTTATTTTAAAATGAGCTTGACAGCAGCATCTATCTCATGGCAAATTTGTAGAAATGAAATGAAAAATTGCGTACAAGCATTGAACACAGTGGCTAGCACACAGTAATCATAGGATGGATATTGGCTATGATCATATTACCTCATGGATTTTGTACTTTGAATTTTAGTTTCCTCATCTAAAAAATGGGAACAAAAATATTATATATACAGTCTGCCATGTACTGTCTTCCTAAAGGGATAGAGAAGTGTGTTGAACATCATAAACCTTCGCATAAGTATGAGGGAACACTCCCTGGCATTTTTCCAATGTGTAGCTTGTCTTGCCTTTCCCAGCTCCCAGCCTTGCCAAGCAGTCACACAGAGCCACTTAGCATCACCCGCACAGGTGTCTGCTGTTTCATGCCCCAGCGCCTGTGACCTTTGCACAACTCGATTTCTCTGTCTGGTATGCCCTTTCCCTCATCCTTCAACTTACATACCTCTTGCAGGATGCCTAAGAAACCTGATTCATTCTCCAAGGCCCAGCTCCCAAGGGTCTCCTCTCTCAAATCCTCTTAGATCCAACCAGCCAGAGTCAGTCATCCCATCCCTGCTTTGTAACCCACTGTAATGGTTCAGACTGCCATTATCTTGCATTACAACTATTGTTTAACTTTTCATTTAATGGCAACAGTGATGAAGCACATAGGCTCTGGAACCTGAATTTCAATACTGACTCTCACACTTATTAGTTGTGTTACCTGGGTAAAGTATAACTTACCTTCTCTGCACCTTAGTTTCCCTGTCTGCTAAGTAGAGATGATAATAATACCTCCCTCATATGGTTGTTGTTGAGGTGAGTCACCTTAAACAGAAGAGTGGCCGGTGCATAGTAAGTACTGTGTAAATTTCAACTTTCATTTGTGTTTCTGTCTTTCTTATCTGACGGCAGAGACTGGGACTTTTCCTCAGTGCCTACAATGAGCCCTGGCACACAGGAGGAACTCAGCAAATGATTGTTGAAGGAGTGGCTCAGAATCCCATGGTCATGAATTCTTGTGTCTCCATTCAGTCGTCTCTGCTCCGCCACCCCCGCCCAACCCAGATCCTGCCTGCCCTCCAGTTTTCCTTAAAAGTGGGTCTTTGAAGCTTCTGCTCTCCATTCAGTACCAGTGCTGCTTTCTCCATCAGAGGTTCCCCCTCCTCTTGTTCAGCTTCCTACTTGGCTTTTCTGACTCTGAGTCTTCTTCTCCCACCTGAGCCCACAGCCCTTCTTCAGACCCCGCCTACCAACACACTCATTGTTCCCTCCATGCAGCCTCTGCTTCTGATCCTGGAGTTTATAGTCTCTACTGAATTAATTAAGAGGTTTTTAGCCAGGGTTTTCCAGGTCCTCCAGTATTTGGGTCCCTACCACCATGAATTTATCTTCTCAAGAAGGGTTTGCTTGGGTGCTTCTCTGAACATGGTGAAGACCTCACCATCCTACCATCCAGTCATCTATCCACCCATCCATCTCCCCACTTATCCTGTCACCCAGAGCACCCATACATCTGTTCACCCACCTACCACTCATCACCTTTCTATCTGTTATTTATCCATCTTGACCTATCTTCTCACCTACCCACAGACCCACCAACCAACTTACCATCCACCCATCCATCCTTCCATTCATCCATCTATGTATCCACTAGATCAATTAACATTCACTATATACTCCCCCCTCTCCAGTCACTATATGGAATACAGATTTGAACAAGAAGAGTGGTTTCCTATTTCATGTAGTAAAAAGTCTACCTGGGGAAATTAGAAAACTGAACCACAATTTGTGGCCAAAGGTAGTTTGTGTCATATGGGTGCTATGGTAGGTTATCAGAGTCCATAGATGAGCTTCAGGGATCTGGAATTCTGTGGGTGATAAGGTGTGTATGATGTCTGTTTATATACATGTGCATTTTCAGGGAAGAGGCTCCATGGCTCTCATGACATTCTCAAAGGGGGTCCGCAGGAAGCACTAGAGGCTGCATAAGGAGAAGCATGAAGAAGAGATAGCCTGAGTCCCAGGCCTTGAGGTGGAGGAAAAGTGGAGCTAACGTTTATTTTAGGCCCACTGTATTATGAACTGAATGTTTGTATCCCCTTAAATTCATAGGCTAAAGCCCTAACCCTAAGGTTAGTCATTAGGAGGTAGGGTCTTTGGGAGGAAATTAGGTTTAGATGAGGTAATGAGGGTGAAGCCTCCACGATGGGATTGTTATTCTTGTGTTAGTCACTCAGTCATGTCCCACTCTTTTGAGACCCCATGGACTGTAGCCTGCCAGGCTCTTCTGTTCGTGGAATTCTCTAAGCAAGAATACTAGAGTGAGTAACCATTCCCTTCTCCAGGGAATCTTCCTGACCCAGGGATCAAACCCTGGTCTCCTGCATTACAGGCGGATTCTTTACCATTTGAGCCACCAGGAAAGCCACTGTGATGGGATTAGTGATTAGTGACCTTATTTAAAAAAATGAGGATGTTCTTACTTTGGCAGTAGTATACTGAAATTGCAAGGATACAGAGAGGATTAGCATGGCCACTTCCCAAGGTTGACACACAAATTCATGAAGCATTCCATATTTTTCTGTGACGATCTAAAGGGATGGGATGGTGGGGGGTGGGAGGGAGTTTCAAGAGGGAGGAGACATACGTATACTTATGGCTAATCCTCCAATTCATAAATTTAAGAAAAAAAAGAAGAGGAAGTGACATCCTCCCTCTGCCATGTGAGGATACAGCAGGAAGACAGCCATCTACAAGCAAGGAAGAGCATATCTGTCTGATCATGGAGACAAATACCCCGATGTCAGACTTCAAGCCTCCAGCACCATGACAAATAGATGTCTGTTGTTTAAGCCATCCAGTCTTTGGCATTTTGTGATAGTAGCCTGAGCTGACTAAGGCTCCATATGCCAGGCACCACTTCTTCTAGTTATGCAAACTTAGACATGTCCTTATCTGGAATATAGGAATGAAAGAGAAATATAGCCAAGGAAATGAGCTTTCCCCAAGCACTGGGCTAGCAGAATCTTCTTATTGAGCGCTTACAGCAACCTTTCAAATAGGCATATTATCCCTATTTTACAGAAGAGGAAGCTCAGAGAGGTAAAGCAAGGACCACAGTCACACTGTTACATGGGGCACAGAGGATTTGAGTCCAGGTCACTGGGGTTCTAGGGCCCAGGAGCTCTGCCCACACCCCTCAGGCTTGTCTGTGGATCAAGGGTGACCAAGTGAGTGAGTGCTTTAGAGCTGTAGAACCCCTCTCAGGCTAAGAGAAGATGCTGTTGTTGCCTGTGCTTAGAGAAATGTTAAAAGAACTTTACAAGCCTCAGGAATTGCTGTCATTAAATTTTCAACAACCTTTTCCTGCGGATTCTGCCCATGGAAAAGGTCAGTGAGTGTTGGTTCTCACCCAGGGAGTGTTATCACAGCGGTTTCCAGGAATAAGGCTGGCACAGGGCAGACACTTAGCAAGCACTCATAGGTGGGTCTGTTGACAGAAAAGAGCCCCCAGCCCACCTCTGTGGCCCCCCCTCTGCTGGGGGAGTGGGGGTGGGCAGCAGCCTGCTCCATCACAGCTGGCAAAATAGATGTCACCTTAAAACTGCCCCAGTGCTTGGAACCAGGGCCCCCCCCCCCAGCAGGGTATACCGCCTCTCAGGTCCAGGGGTTTCTTAAACTTCAAGAAAGCTTGTGTCCAGGCCAGCTGCCCACCCAGACTCCCTGCCACCACTGCCTTCCCTCACTGAAGGAGTTCAAACCCAGGTTGAAAACCACTGGACTTCTTGCAAAAAGGAGATTCAACCGAATGACCCTTAAGCTCCCTTCCGGTCACGTAAGACTGGGATGAATTAAGGGAGAAAATGTTTTTTCAACTAAAACTGTTTTCTCCTTGAAGGCAGGGACCGTGTAATTTGTTGATTTGGCCTTATAACCAGATAGACCCTCCCTCACCATCCCCTCAGCCACCACCCTCGTCTGAGACACTGGCAGGACCGTGAACCACTCCCGCTGCTTCCCTTGGTCTCCCTTGACGCAGTTGATCCCATCCCAGTCAGACTGGCCTTTCTAAACGGAGCGTATTATACCTCTGGCCTTCTCGTTTGCTGAATTACAAAGGCCAGAAGTTTTTACCAACTGCTCTGCATTCCTAACTTAGCTCTTTACACCCTGTGCCGGTCCACCTATGCTCTGGCCAGCTCTACACCTCCCCCAGCTCACGTTCTCCTGGGCTGTTTTTCTGCTCGCAGAACTCTCAGATTCCCCAGTGAACTCCTCTTCAGCCACTCAACAGGGAGCCAACCATTCCCCTGAAGCCCTAAATCTGGGTAGGTGGCCTTCTCTATGCTCCACAGTACCTGCAGGCTTCTTCTCTCTGTATTGTAATTTTCTGGTCCATTTTCTGTCTCTCCCACCAGCTGTAAGCTCCGGGCAGGCTACATCTGTGATTGCTTGTTTATCATACTCTCAGCGTCCAGCCTACAAGACCTAAGACCCTCGCTCGTAAGAGGTACTTAATGAACACATTTGCATTCCTTCGAGCACGGCTCTACTTGGAGGCAAGGTCAGATTCCTTGCCCCCACGCTTGAGAGGCCTCTCTGCAGAGGTCCCCAATGTGGAAACCATTAGCACGCCCTCCCCCTGCCCTTAACTGAATTTGCTCGGAAGAGGCAGGAGCTTTTGGAAGCACCTGAATCCGATTATAGAGCTTGGAAGCAAAGCCAGGCATAATTGGGCTGCCTCACCCACCCCACCCCACCCCCCTTTTTTAGCCAGATGACCAGCATCCTGCCCCCGCAGGCAGTCCTCCTACCTCTCTGCCAGCCTGTGCTGGCTGTGACAGCTCAGCCACAACTGAATGGGCAGCTGCGGCCGCATTTAGAGAGGGTGAGGCAGAGACACTCACTTCAACTCTGACATTCAGTCCGTCTCTTGTGACTCAGGTTGCCTCCGGGGCTGCAGGATGCGAGCAGGGCTAGCCCTTTCATTAGATATCTGTGACATGGGAAAAGGTCAGACAAGTGGACTATGCTGCTGAGTCACCGGGCGTGAGTGTCCATCCTGGCAACCTGCCCATCGCAAGGGGCACCCGTTTGCCCTTTGAAGGTGGTTTGATTCCTGGGATAGATTCAATGCAGGGCATGCAGGGGAAGATGGACCTTGTCTGTTTCTGTAAAAGGAGCCGATGTAACATGGTCAGGAGGAGAGCTGTCTTTGGAGTCAGACACACCTGCTTTGGAGTCTCAACTCTACAGCACTGGCTGCGGTCCCAGAAGCAAGTTCTTAACTTCCCTGTCTCTCAGACCTTCATTTATACGGTGTGTGTGTGCTAAGTCATGCATACTAAGTCACTTCAGTCGTGTCTGACTCTTTGCAATCCTATGGATTGTAGCCCGCCAGGCCTCTCTGTCCATGGGATTCTCTAGGCAAGAATACTGGAGTGACTTACCATGCCTTTCTCCAGGGGATCTTCCTGACCCAGGGATCAAATCCTCTACTCTTATGTCTCCTGCATTGGCGGGCGGGTTCTTCACCACTAGTCCTGCCTGGGAAGGAGGCCGTCCTATACCTAAGGCACAGAGCTCCTGTGAGAATAAATGAGGTAAAGGATGTAAGAAGCTCAGCAGAGAGTTTGGCGAACATCAAATTGTCCATAAATGGTAGGTATTATTATTTGGACACACTGAGTGGGTACGTGATCCCCAGAGAACACAGTGTCTCCCCACAGTCACCAGGGTCTTGGCCCCCACCTTCCACACCATAGTCACATAGTTCTGGCTTGGGGCAATTTAGTTAAAATGGGGATGAGCCAGGAAGAAATGAAAAGGAAGTAAAAGGCTAGTGACATTTAAAAAATGTTACTATCTCACATGGACAAATTGTTTCCTCATGGTTGCGTTGGTCTCACTGGAAACCAGATGCATAGGTAGACACGGCCACACACAGGCAGCCGGGCAAGCAGGGTCTTACCGTGTCTGCCTTGTCCTAGACATCTGGAGAAAGCGGAGTTTGTTAACTAGACCTCTGAAACTCACGCTCCTTTTCCATTCACTGAATTCCCACCCACCGCGGTTGCGCCTTTGGCTCTTGGCTCAGCATCCTCCCTCCATCCAATGCTCTACTCCTCCAAACAGAGGGATAACATCAAAGAACTCTTCGGACAGCGCGGAGAAGACCAAATTTGCTCAGCGTCATTTGGCAAGCTGTTTAACCTCCCTTGTAACCTAGCTATCTTTAGCCTCCTCGATGCTATTTTGAAATGTCAAACTAGCAAATACTGCTTCCAGAATGGTTCTGATCTGGGATGTGACAGGATGCTTGGGGGAAGGGAGACGAGTGGGAGGTGGGGATGGGAAGGGAGCTTTCTGGTGGTGGGGGGAGGGGGGAGACAATGCACTAATTTTACAACTGCCAAGTCTCTCCCTTTTACTGGCTCAGCCACCTCCTCCAGAAAGTCAGCACACTTAAGGGGCAGTGGGGGCATTGAGTCCCACCTGGACCTAACCTCGAGGGATGTCTGCTTATCTGACTCTGGAGCCAGACCTGGACCATGTCCCATTAGCCAAGAGAGCAAACTGACTCTTGTGTACCCAGTACAGTCTAAAAATATTCATTCACTCACTTATTCACTCATTCATTCAGCAGGTATTTACTGAGTAGTAACTGTGTGCCAGGCATGGTACTCGGCACTGGGAACACAGAGATAGCCTGCAAAGATTGATACCCATTGGAACCATCTGGGCGGTTGATTAAACTAGAGCCCCTCGGG